CCTGCCTCAGCCTCCCGAGCAGCTGGGACTACAGGCGCCCGCCACCTCACCCAGCTAGTTTTTTGTATTTTTTAGTAGAGACGGGGTTTCACCATGTTAGCCAGGATGGTCTCCATCTCCTGACCTCGTGATCTGCCCGTCTCGGCCTCCCAAAGTGCTGGGATTACAGGCTTGAGCCACCGCGCCCGGCCTGTTTGTTTGTTTTCTGAGAGTCAGGGTCTCACTCTGTTGCCCAGGTTGGAGTGCAGTGGCACGATCATAACTTACTGCAGCCTCAATCTCCTGGACTCAAGCAATCCTCCTTCCTCAGCCTCCTTAGTAGCTGGGAGAACAGGCATGAGCCACCATGCCCTGCTCGAAAAAGAGAAGTTTTGAGAAATTGTTCTGGAACATGTGGTTACTCCTAGGGGAAAAAAGTGAGCCCTACTTCATACCACGCACCCAAATTAACTGGAGATGAATCAGAGACCTAAATGTAATAGCTAAAACTATGCAGCTCCTGTAAGAAAATATACCGTGATTGAAAGACAGCAAAGATTTCTTAGACAAGACGCGAGGATTTCTTCGGACACAGGACAGAGCCAGGATGCGACTGAAGAAAGATGTGATAAATTAGGTTTTATTAAATTAAAGGTGAATGCTTGAATATCATTAAGAAAATGAAAAGCCGAGCTAGAGACTGGGGGAAGAATCACAAAACATATCTGTATCCAGAATACGTAAAGAACTCACTGAATTCAGTAAGAAGACGGACAACCAAATTTTAGAAATGGACAAAAGCCTTGAACAGACGCTTCACAAAGGAAGGTAGACAGTAAGGACACAGAAGATCCCTCGGCAGCGTTAGCCATCAGGAAAGTGCCAAATAGAACCACAATTCTGTTTCACTCCACAGGCACTCTGGGGGCTGGATGGAAAAAGACTGGCAACAGCAGAAGCTGACCAGGATGTGGAGCAGCTGGGGCTGGTGAGCGCTGCTGGCTGGGGGTGTGGAATGCACCCACTTTAGAAAACCATTTGTCAGCTGTTTATGAGGTTCAGTCTAGACCTTCTCGTTGACCAGCAGTTCCACTCCTAGTGGAATTTAGTTTCCAAGGAAAAGCCTGTGTAACCCCCCCCACCACACATGCGCGCGCGCGCGCACACACTCACACACACAACTTGAATGCTCATATAACAGATTTTATTCACAATAAACAAAAACTTGGAGGCAACCCAAATGTCCGTCAAGAAGGAGAATGGGTAACCTGTTGTTATTCATGCTGTGGATTATTACTCGGCAGTAAACAGGAATGAGCTGCAGATGTGGGCAAGTCGGAACGGATGTCTCAAAGACCCGATGTTGAGGAAAAGAAGCCAGGCACGAAAACTAATGCACGACGCCATTGACATTCTACTGCAGACAAGGCTCGTCTGTGGTGAAGAACAGTCAGAAGGGTGGTTGCTTGGGGCAGGAAGGAGATTGATGGGCAAGGGCAGGAGCTCTGGTGAGATGAAAGTGCTCTCTGGCCGGGCGCGGTGGCTCAAGTCTGTAATCCCAGCACTTTGGGAGGCCGAGACGGGCGGATCACGAGGTCAGGAGATCGAGACCATCCTGGCCTTAGTGAAACCCCGTCTCTACTAAACATATACAAAAAACTAGCCGGGCGAGGTGGTGGGCACCTGTAGTCCCAGCCACTTGGGAGGCTGAGGCAGGAGAATGGCGTGAACCCGGGAGGCGGAGCTTGCAGTGAGCCGAGATCCGGCCACTGCACTCCAGCCTGGGCTACAGAGCCAGACTCCGTCTCAAAAAAAATAAAATGAAAAGAAAGTGCTCTCTGATGTGGGAGGGCATGAGTGACCCAGGTGTATCCACTTGTCAGAAAGTTCCCACTAAGGGTGTATTTTGATCCTTAAAAAGCTTAGCAAAAATATTGTGAGAACCCTATGCCTGCCATTTCTTACCAAGCTTGAGATGCAGCAGGTGCTTCATAGATGTGGACTTGTACCTAGATCCCAGCGTGACAGTTCTGACTAGGCCAGGGAAGAGGGAGGTGGGCGGGGGACTCTGCCTTTCACACCCCGTTTCTAGGTCCACCCGGGCTTCAAAGCATCTTTCGAGTCTCATCTGTTCCGGAAGATTCTGACCATCCCAGCCTTCCCCGTCCTCTCCCTCCTTAATATGTTTGGGCTCGGGATGGAGCTCGTGCCTCCTGCATCCCGGGATCGTGGATTGTATCCTGTATTTCCCGGAATACGCTCAGGCCTTGTGAGAGCCAGGCACGTCATTGAGAACTCAGTAAATGGCAGTGCTAGGCAGTGCGGTGGGAGGCACGAGCGAAGGATGTGTGTCCATGACATCCGAGAGACCTGCAGCAGCCTGGGCTGGGTTTCCCGTCCGCACCGTGACAAGCCTGGAGCTCCTGCGGGGGAGGAAACACGTTGCATGTCGTCAGCAGCCGGTTCTGGTCGACCCGTGATGGAGGCGGCACGGGGTCCTTTATGAACAGGCTCCTGAGTGGTTGTGGGGAGCCCTGGGCTCTGTTGGGACGCCCCACCGTGGGGCCATTTGCCATCCCTGCACGGGATGTCCTCCAGGCCCCTGTCCAGGTCCGGCTTGCAGCCTTTTTTGATCCATGTCATCAGCTCTTGCAGCATTTAACAGCCAACCCCCCTCCTTCCACCTGGCTTGTTGGAGAAAAGCCGACGTCTGTCTCTAGACAGTCTGAGTGGCCTCATCTGCCCTGGAGTTGTCTCGTTCAGCAGCCTGGAAGCTTCCCCGTCTCGCCTTGCCTCCAACTGTCAAGAGTTCTCCCGCCAGCCTCACTCTGCCGTGTGACGGAAACGTGGGGTGGCTGGCAGCCGCTGAGAACAGCCCCTGCCGTCACTTTTGCCTGCGTCCCTGGTAGCCTGGCAGGCAGAGGAGTGGGGGCTGTTTCCTTGGGGACAGCATCTGGAGAGGAGGGGAGGTGATTTGTGTCATCACAGGTGACAGTTTCTAAGGCAGGTGCTGGAGCTGGCTGGGGACGGACCTTTGAGATGGGTTAGTAAGAAAACCTGTGAGTTCACAAGCACCCTTCCTGCCTTCATGTCTGTTCCCAGGGCAGCGTCTGTCACCAGATTGCGGGCCCAGCCCGTCTGACGGCTGCCTTCGCCCTGGCTTCAGTTCTCCCGCACGGCTGAGCAACACCCAGACGGACCTCTCACGGTGGAGGGCGGGCAGGGAGAGGAGAGCACAGTGATCGAGTGCCATAGCCCTGCCCCTTGCTGACCGTTTAACCTCAGTGTGTTTGTTTTAATTTGCACAATGGCTACAGTGCTGTCTGCCTCCAAGGATTCTGTGAGGCCCAAAAGAATAACTGTTTTTCTACAGGTGCTGGCACACACAGGGGCTTGCCCATGGGTACGTGGCTCTTTGAATGCTGGTTGGAGGGTTCCATCAGCCTGGTCTGTCCCAGGGCCATCTGCCCTCTGCCAGCTTTGCTCCTCTGGCCGGCTTTCAGCCGCCTCACTCACACCTGTAGTGGTGCAGAAAATGAAGGACCCGGAGTGACAGCTTCCTCTGCCTCCTTTGCCCACCTGCCTGCGGGAGGCTCCACAAGGCAGGAGCTGGGCTCGCCCCCAGCTTCCCCTCTAGAGAGGCACAGATGCTTCGCCCACAGACGGACGCCGTGTGGCAGGTGCATTGCAGCGTGTCCTCCAGGGAAGGTGCTGAGGGCCTTCCTCGAATGCACACGTGCCCTCCCTCTCTCAAGCAGACCTTGAATGGTCCTCCCCAACCCAAGCCTTAAAAGGCGACAGCTGATATTCAAAGGCCAGGTTCGGGATGAGGCCATGGCATACGGCGTGGCCGGGGACCCTGTTCCTGAGTGCCACAGGGATGGTTCCTGCCCCGGCTTCCGTCCCTGCCTCGCCTCCCTGTGTGCCAGTCATGGTGGCAGTGGAAGGGGGTGCTCTGCATTTATTTCCGTCCTTCTCGCAGTGAACTCTGCCGCCCACTTTGAGCCCAGGCTGTGAGATGCGTCCTTGTGCAGGGGTGAGGGCTTGCAGGGCTGAACACACCACCGGTCTGGGCCTGGGATGACTCCTGCCCCTCCGCCCCCAGGTGCAGTGAGCCCCCAGCGGGGCCTGTGGGAACGGGGTGGTTGGATTGGCTCAGGTGCTGATTCAATGAGAGACTTGCCGAGCCCCAGCAGGTCAGGTGTGGAGCTTCAGGAGAGCTGAGGAAGCCCAGTGTGGGGAGGGGCCAGGCTCATCTGCTGCCACTCACAGAGTCACTGGAAATGTAGCCAAGGAGCTGCATCTAGGACACGGGCGCCTGCGAGTCCAGATCACAGGCCAAGTGGCGATCCTGGTGGGTGTCTTGGAGGAGGCAGCCTGCGAACTGAGTCCTGCAAGCGGACGGGTGGCTTGTTGGAGTAGGACCGTGAGCTAAAACAAAGCTTTATCGTATTAGACTTTGGTGGGAGTTTCTTTGGCTCTGGTTTCAGAAGGCAAATGACAAACGCCGGGTCACCCTCCAAGTACCTGGAACATTTGCACCTTGGCTCCAAGGACTGGAAGAGCCAGGGCTGAGCTGGAAGCACTCCGGGCTCCAGGTCACAGCCTTGGGCTGGGGGAGAGAGGCTTCTGGTCTGGAGGCAGGAGCTGGGTGCTCCTGTCAGGTAGGGTTGGGAAGATTCTGGTGAGGGCAGGGGTCCTGCCCCTGGACCTCTGGCCTGTGTCCCCAGCATTTACCAAAGGGCTGGAGAAGTGGGGGCTTTGTCCTGGCAGATCCCTCTGAAATGCACATTGTGGAGGCAGCAGGCAGAGCCCTGGGGGATGCTCCCTGCGCTGCCCGGTTCACACCCACAGAAGCCCTGCTGGTGGGGCCCACCCCACTTTGTAGACTGAGGCCCTGGGCAGGTGACCTCACTGTGGCCCCAGCTGCCTGCGTCCCTCATGGACCCTCGTGCTCTGCGGCTCCCCGGTCAGGGTGGTGGGAGCCTCCCCTCCCCTCTAACCTGCCTCCTCCTATACAGCGAGCATGACCTGGGGGAGGACATCTACGACTGCGTCCCGTGTGAGGATGGAGGGGATGACATCTACGAGGACATCATCAAGGTGGAGGTGCAGCAGCCCATGGTGAGCCCTGCCCCACTCCTCCCCTCCCTTTCCCTCCCCTCCCTTTCCCTCCCCTCCTCTCCCCTCCCCTCCCCTCCTCTCCCCTCCCTTCCCTTCTTCTCCCCTCCCCTCCCCGCCCCTCCTGTCCTCTCCCCTCCTCTCACCTCCCCTTCCACTCCCCTCCCCTCCTGTCCCCTCCTCTCCCCTTCTCACCCCTTCCCTCCTCTCCCCTCCCCTCCTCTTCCCTCCCTTCCCCTTCCCTCTTCTCCCCTCCCCTCCCCTCCTCTCCTCTTCCCTTCCTTCCTCTTCCCTCTTCTCCCTCCCCTCCCCTCCTCTCCTCTTCCCTTCCTTCTCCTTCCCTCTTCTCCCCTCCCCTCCTCTTTCCTCCTCTCCCCTCCCCTTTCCTCCTCTCCCCTCCTCTTTCCTCCTCTCCCCTCCCCTCCCCTCCCCTCCTCTCCTCTCCCCTTCCTTTCCCTCCCCTCCTCTCCTCTTCCCTCCCATCCCCTCCACCCCCTCCCCTCCCCTCCCCCCTCCTCTCTTCTCCCCTTCCTTCCCCTTCGGTCCTCTCCCCTCTCCTGCTCTCCCCTCCCCTCCTCTCCTCTCCTCTCCCCTCCCCTCCTCTCCCTTCCCCTCCCCTCCCCTCCTCTCCCCTCCCCTCCTCTCCCCTCCCCTCCTCTCCTCTCCGCTCCCTTCCCTTGCAGAGCAGCCTGGCCCTTGCTTAACACAATACTGAGCTGTCCCCATGTCTGAGCCACCGAGGGGGGGCTCCTCTGGTTGCCGGGGGACGTCCAGAGAGTGCACCCCTTGGTCCTTCCCAGTCCCCTCGGGGCTCCTCCAAGGAGCAACCTTGGAAACCCTCACTGACTCCTGGTCCGCTCTGTGCCCTTCCTCTCTATGGAGATGTTCTCAGGTGCCCCAGAGGTGACACCACCACTGTCGTGACCCCCGCCCGTGTTGGCATGGGATTCTTCTTCCAAGGGTTTGCAGGACCCTCAGTCCTTCCTGCCCAGGGAGCCTTAAGATAGTAACTTGGCTCGCGGTCTAAAGCACGCATCATTTTCCCCCTTTGTGTGGAGAGTGATGAGACCAATATTGGCCCAATTAGCCAGCTGTGCGTCTTTTATGTGTGGAGGATGTTTATTTCCCTGCAGGCAGTGGCGAATAATCTCTCGGATGCCAGTTTCCTCCGCGTGGGTTTATTGCCAGCAGCTGCTGTGTGGAAGGTGGGGATCCAGCAGAGCTGGAATGGGGAGACAGGGACCTGGTGGGGCAGGTCACAGGCCCTCGGACCCGCAGGCTCCCGAGAGTGGGCAGGATGCCACTTGCCAACCGTGCAGGCTTTTGATGCCACTGGCTTTCCCCGAAGAAATGGGAAGTTTCTCAAAAAGCTGATCTCAGTGTTTTCTTTTAGTGTAGGAGGAGCCAGCTGGTGGTGGAGAGGCAGAAAGCCGGGGAAACAGATCCCTAAAGAGGCCTTGCCCGGAGGCCTTGCCCGCTCTGCTGGCATGCTGCTGGGAGAGATAGGCAGGTGCAGGGCTGGGGGTCTCACAGCCCCCAAACTGACTCAAGAGCAGGTTTCTCTGCTTGTCCCTGAAGGGCCTTGAGCTGAGTTTCGTTCCCCGCCATTACCGGGGGGTCTCCCCCGAGGGGTGATGGCCCTTTGTGAAGGCAGCAGGGCCTCCAGTTTGCCTTCCTGGGGAGCCTGGCTGGGCAGCTGTTAGGGCTGGAAGGCTGGGCCATGGCCCTGCTGCTGGGGGCTCCCCTCACCTCCCCAGAGCTGGCCTGAGAGGTCCCAAGGTGGCCGGCGAGCCGTCTGGACTTGGGAATGAGCTCTGACTGGTCAAGGCCGGTTCCCCCCCGAAGTCGTTTGAAAGCTGGGCATCCTGCGGGTAAACTTCAGCAGGTGGTTGCATTGCCTGTGAGGTTGTGTGGGGGATCCTGGCCCTGGATCATGCAGGCCCTCTCTCTCGAGACCCCCATCCATGCCTGGCGAGAGTGGGTGCTCCCTGGAGCCTGCTGCTGTCCCTGGTCTGAAGAGGTCTCAGACCTCTTTGAGAAAACATGTGAAGGGACATGGAGTGTCCACAGAACCTTCCAGGCTGGGTAACAGCGTTGCCTGTGTCTGGGGTGGAAGGCACCCTGCTGTCAGGCTCTGCATAGTGTCCTCGTGCCCAGCGCTGGTCCCGCTGGTCTTGAGCTGTCCAGTCTATCCAGGCAGGTGCTGGGGGCAAGGGGCAGTTCCTGCTTCCTACCAGGGTCCTCTGAGATAAAACAACTGCTTCCGTGTCCTTCCCTGTCATGTCTGGAGCTCTCTGAACAGCCCCAGTAGAAGGTAATAGAGATGGTGACTTCCCCAAAGGAAGATAAAGCCAGAGGATGGCAGGTGCCACTTCCAGAGCCTGGGTAGGGGGTCTGCTGTGGAGGCTCTGGCCCCTGAGCCGTCACCCTGCCCAGCTGGGCAGCACGAGGGGCTGTGATGTGGCTTCGGGTCTGTTGGCTGGTTGTGGGGTGGTGTTCCTGATGTCCCAGGCCCAGGTTGCAAGGACAGTGTGGGCCCTGCTAACTGGCGCTGTTTCTGGTTTCTTTCTCCACGCTTGCAGATTAGATACATGCAGGTGAGTGGCCCGGAAGGGGAGGTTGGGGACGTCCTGCCTGCGCCATCTTCTTGACCTTTCGTGGAGGTCTCAGACCTCTCTAGAAAACTCAGGACTCTGCCCCCAGGGAGACACGGTCAGGCACACGTGACTTCAGGCATCACAGACCCTTAGCACCCCCGTGGTCCTGTACCCCATCTTGCATGTTGCCTTAGAGATCTGCAGCCTGGCAGACCCCAAGGGGACCCTTGGGGATTTCTTGAAGGATGATGATGGTCTTAGGGCTGACACAAGTGCTGTGGGTCTCAGCACCATTTCTCCAGAGCCTTCTGACAGGTGTGGCTCACCCAGCCTAACAGAACCTTCAAGATAGTGTTGGGAAAATCCCCCACTGCCCCACAGTGACCCCACCTGTCACCTCACCCTGGACCACTGTCCAGGCAACCTCTCAACAGTCCTGCCCCGGCCACATTCCACCAGAGGTGGGGGCAGGCCCTGCTCTGGAGGAGGCCCCAGGGACCCTGCTGGTGGAGGAGGGGTCATCTCAGGCCCCCTGGCTAGAAACCAGTGGACACTTGGGGGAAGAGTCCAGCCTGCAGGTGGCTGGTGCTGAGACGCGCAGTGTCTCAGTGGATGTGGTCTGCATGGAGCCACGCGCACAGTCTGCTGTATAGGGAGGACTTATGCACGCAGTAGGTGCTTTAGCAACTCACTCCTGCTCCTTTGCGGGAGGGGATAGCTTCTGCGGCCCTCACCCCAGTCTGGTGAAGAATTGAGATTCAGAATCAGAGGAGTAGGAGCCTGGGATTCTAGAAGCCTCTGCCTCCACGCCTTCCTTGGCACTGTCCCCATGTCATGTCCCCTCCCCGTGCCTCAGTTTCTTCATCTGCAAAATGGATGCGAAGGGGTTGGCCCTCTCTGTCACCCATCCGGCTGCAGCACTGCACACTCAGTGACCTCGTGGGCAAACCCGAGGAAGTGTCCTTGTGTGCGGAGGTGTCCGGGTGTCACGGTGCAGACGTGCAGGTGGCGGGTGCCTGGGCTCATGGGGTCCTGCTGACATGCTGACACCCCGTTCCCTCCTCTAGAAAATGAGCATGACTGAGGATGACAAGAGGAACTGCTGCCTGCTGGAGATCCAGGAGACCGAGGCCAAGTACTACCGCACCCTGGAGGACATAGAGAAGGTGAGGGCGGGCGGTGGCTGCCGGAAAACGGCAGCGGCCACTGTGGTCACTGCCGGGCCACCCATCCCCTGGGAGTGCATTCCGGAGGCAGGGCCACAGGGCCTCTCTGACAGGCGAAGGAGATCTGGTGGCCCTCCCAGCTCTGCCTCCAGGTATCCCCTGCCCAAAAGGAGGGTGCCTTCTCCTTTGCTCTGCAACCCCTGAAGCCCCAGCGTGCACCTGTCCCTGCCCCTCCTCCGAGCCTGATCGGGGTGGGATTACGGCTTCAGCTCCTGAACGTTGCTCTGAGGCAGGCGCTGAGCTAGCTCCTCATGTATTCCCCCCGACCCCACCTAGAGCTGCTCCCCAGCCTCTCCCCCCTCGGCCTCTCCCTCTGTAAAATGGAAGAAAGCTCCCATGGGGAGCTGGGAGTGTCCTGCACAAGGCATGGTCGGGCCTAGTGACCAGAGCTGCAGACTCCAAGCTCCTTGCCCAGCTGTTCCACCCTCGTGCATCTGAGTCCTCTCCCGCTGGCCTGCTGAGCTCCTAGAGGGCTGAGGATGGGCCTTCACCTGCCCTACCCAACTCGGGCCTCCTATAGGCACCTGATCGGCCTGGCTCTGGGACATTTCCCTGGCACTTCTGAGTCTTCATTGCCAACTGTTAATGTTTACTGGGGAGAAAAACCAACCTTGTTTTAAGCTGGAGTCTCATTTCTATCCTCCGGTTGTGGTCCAGGGTGGCTGTGGTGCCTCCAGCCAGGAGACCTGGTCTGCCTCCTTTGACCCAGGCTGGCCTTGCTCCATCTGGGTCCCCTCCATCTGCTGCCCCACCCTCTGGTCCTTGGCCAGCGGCCTTTCTGCACACACATCTGTACATCCTGGCCCAGGTCCTTCCTGCTCCCTTGAAGCCCTGCTCATGCCCTGGCAGAGTCCCACCCCTTCCGAGAATCCTGGCTCTGAGGTCGGCCTCTGCTGGGGTCCTGCCGGCCTCTGCGTCCCTCCACGGCTGAGTGCTGCCTCAGAAAGTGGGAGGGCCCTTGGGGTCTGTCTCCACCCTGCCTGGGGCTGCCACCTGGGTGTGTTTGCTTGGACGATGCTCTCTGCGTCACGGGGTGGCCAAGGAGTGGTCCCGCAGCTGGGCCCAGAGGATGCCTGCAGAGCTGCTGGCCACCCTGACCAGGAGCCACTCGGGGAGCAGGAGAGGAGAGGGCAGCAGGGCCTCCCCGGGCCTCCAGAGCAGGGTTGGCAGCCTCACACATCCTCGTTTTCACTTCACATCCCACCTGAGGCTGGGACTGGAGGACTCTGGTCCACAGCCTGCACCCCGCTGGCACTTCTCCAGATGGAGAGCGTCCCTTTTGATGACAGTTTTGGGGTCGTGCTCAGGAGTACAAGCTCAGTGTTTGAGTGCTGGGTGGGGACCACGGCCCTGTCCATCCAGAGAGTCCCCGCGGGTGACGGCCCTGCCTCCTGGGTCTCAGCCCCTCACCGCAAGCCACAACCCCAGCGCCCACGTCAGGGCAGCCATAGCGCCCACGCCCACCCTGTGTATGAGTGGCCATCACAGGACTCTGCCCCGGCCATGCTGGCAGCGTTAGAATCTTTACCCCCACACACCTCCCTGCCCTGAACTCACCCCCAGAGAATGGAGCCCGATGTGGCCAGAACACAGGTGTACCCCAGTAAGCATGGAGCACCCCAGTGTGCCTGCCTCGGAGCTGCCCCAGGGACCCTCCCCCGGCAGCTGTGACCTTGAGAGGGTGGGCGATGGCAGCAGCGTAGCAGTGGCGGACTTCTGTCTTCCAGAACTACATGAGCCCCCTGCGGCTGGTGCTGAGCCCGGCGGACATGGCGGCTGTCTTCATTAACCTGGAGGTAAGGGTCCTGGCCCCCCTCGCTCATGCCAGGCTCTGGGCTCTCACTCGGCACTGGCCACACATGTGCTGCTGTCCCCAGGGCCTTGGAGAGCTGCACCCCTGCAGTTCCGTTGTGGCTTGTGCTGCCTGGAAGGAGGAGCCCCCACCCCTCTCTCCATGGTCTTTGGATTTAGGAGCCAGGGTAGCAGGTTTCTGGGCTCCCCTTGTCTGCGGGTGAGGGCGGCACTGACGTGCATGGCTGGAGGCACGGATGACCCTGAGAACGTCAATGACATTTTTGTCAGCGGCCAGAGAGAAACGTGTCCCTCCACCCCTTTGAGCAGACCCCCTCGCCCGCCCTGCGGGTGTCTGAACGCAGTCATAGAAAGGCAGTCCCCCATGCAGAGTCACCCCGACGTGGTTAGCAGAGCAGGGCGCTGGCACCAGGCTCCGGCGGCCACACATGGGTGAGCTTCCTCCGGGGACACGCTACTCCTGGCCCTTCCTCCTGGCCTGGTGGCCACAGGTGCCAGCAGCCCATGTGGTGGCTGTGTCCTGCCTCCCTGGGCGTCTCATTAGCTGCAAGGGTGGGCTCTGGTCACTCTGCCCTGGATGAGGCTGGCTTGGACCGCAGAGCTTCCTGTAGTCTGTGCCTCTGACCCAGAGTTCATCTGGCCTTGAGCTGTGGTCTGGATGGAGGACCACAGACAGAAAGAGACCTGGGGTGGGGATGGGGGTCCTGGGGTGGGGCCTGGGCACAGGGGTACTGCGCTGTGCCGCCCCACTCTGTCTGCAGAGCCTGCCCTGAGTCGGCCGCTGTGTATCAGATGGGCTGATGCGGGCTGAGGGCGGCTTCCCTCCCACACGCACTGGCTCTTCTGTGCGCCATTGCCATAGAATCTTCTACTGGAATCACACCCTGGCATGCACAGATATGTGGGGTGCAGGCCCAGCAGCCGGGCCCCTCAGCCCCTTGACAGGAACCACAGAACCACAGGGGTGCCTTAAGGGTGGCGCTCCCGTCTAGCCTTGGGTGGGCCTGGCCAGGCACTCACGGCTCTTATTCAACCCAGGACCTGATCAAGGTGCATCACAGCTTCCTGAGGGCCATTGACGTGTCCATGATGGTGGGGGGCAGCACGCTGGCCAAGGTCTTTCTCGATTTCAAGGAAAGGTGAGTGGCTGCTGGCCCTCTGGGGCTCCTTGGCCCCTCCGTCTGCGGGAGAGTTTATGCAAGTGGAACTCTTGGGTTTTGGGGTGTCCCGAGACAGGGGCTGCCCCCTCTGGACACCGTCCTCCCTTGTTGAGGATACCGCCCACCCTGAGCCGCAGCCTGGTTGATGGAGAGGATGCAGAGCCAGGCTCCTGTCGTGAGCCGAGATCCGGCCACTGCACTCCAGCCTGGGCTGTGAGCCAGACTCCGTCTCAAAAAAAAAAAATAAAATGAAAAGAAAGTGTTTCCTCTGATGTGGGAGGGCATGAGTGACCCAGGTGTATCCACTTGTCAGAAAGTTCCCACTAAGGGTGTATTTCTTGATCCTTAAAAAGCTTAGCAAAAATATTGTGAGAACTCCTATGCCTGCCATTTCTTACTGCTTTCTGGAGATGCAGCAGGTGCTTCATAGATGTGGACTTGTACCTAGATCCCAGCGTGACAGTTCTGACTAGGCCAGGGAAGAGGGAGGTGGGCGGGGACTCCTGCCTCACACCCCGGTTTCTAGGTCCACCCGGGCTTCAAAGCATCTTTCGAGTCTCATCTGTTCCGGGAAGATTCTGACCATCCCAGCCTCGCCCCTTCTCCCTCCTTAATATGTTTGGGCTCGGGATGGAGTCGCAGCCTCCTGCATCCCGGATCGTGGATTGTATCCTGTATTTCCCGAATACGTCAGGCCTTGTGAGCCAGGCACGCTATTGAGAACTCAGTAAATGGCAGTGCTAGGCAGTGCGGTGGGAGGCACGAGCGAAGGATGTGTGTCCATGACATCCGAGAGACCTGCAGCAGCCTGGGCTGGGCTTCGTCCGCACCGTGACAAGCCTGGAGCTCCTGCGGGGAGGAAACACGTTGCATGTCGCCAGCAGCCGGTTCTGGTCGAATTCGCGATGGAGGCGGCACGGGGTCCTTTATGAACAGGCTCTGAGTGGTTGTGGGGAGCCCTGGGTTTGCTGGGATCGCCCACCGTGGGGCCATTTGCCATCCCTGCACGATGTCCTCCAGGCCCTGTCCAGGTCCGGCTTGCAGCCTTTGATCCATGTCATCAGCTCTTGCAGCATTTAACAGTAGCCAACCCTCCTTCCACCTGGCTTGTTGGAGAAAAGCCGACGTTCTGTCTCTAGACAGTCTGGAGTGGCCTCATCTGCCCTGGAGTTGTCTCTGCCTGTTGTGCCTGGAAGCTTCCCCTGCCCCTCTTGCCTCCAACTGTCAAGAGTTCTCCGCCAGCCTCACTCTGTTGCAGACGAAACGGGTGGCTGGTAGCCGCTGAGTAAACAGCCCCTGCCGCCACTTTCTTTGCTCATGCCCTGGTAGCCTGGCAGGCAGAGGAGTGGGGGCTGTTTCCTTGGGGACAGCATCTGGAGAGGAGGGGAGGTGATTTGTGTCATCACAGGTGACAGTTTCTAAGGCAGGTGCTGGAGCTGGCTGGGGACGGACCTTTGAGATGGGTTAGTAAGAAAACCTGTGAGTTCACAAGCACCCTTCCTGCCTTCATGTCTGTTCCCAGGCAGCGTCTGTCACCAGATTGCGGCCCAGCCCGCCTGACGGCTGCCTCGCCTCTGGCTTCAGTTCTCCCGCACGGTGCTGAGCAACACCCAGACGGACTCTCACGGTGGAGGGGCGTGGCAGGGAGGAGCACAGTGATCGAGTGCCATAGCCCTGCCCCTTGCTGACCGTTTTTAACCTCTCAGTGTGTTTGTTTTAATTTGCACAATGGCTACAGTGCTGTCTGCCTCCAAGGATTCTGTGAGGCCCAAAAGAATAACTGTTTTTCTACAGGTGCTGGCACACACAGGGGCTTGCCCATGGGTACGTGGTTTCTTGAATGCTGGTTGGAGGGTTCCATCAGCCTGGTCTGTCCCAGGCCATCTGCCTCTGCCAGCTTTGCTCCTCTGGCCGGCTTTCAGCCGCCTCACTCACACCTGTAGTGGTGCAGAAAATGAAGGACCTCGAGTGACAGCTTCTCCTCTGCCTCCTTTGCCCACCTGCCTGGAGGCTCCACAAGGCAGGAGCTGGGCTCGCCCAGCTTCCTCTAGAGAGGCACAGATGCTTCGCCCACAGACGGACGCCGTGTGGCAGGTGCATTGCAGCGTGTCCTCCAGGGAAGGTGCTGGAGGGCCTTCTCGAATGCACACGTGCCCTCCCTCTCTCAAGCAGACCTTGAATGGTCCTCCCCAACCCAAGCCTTAAAAGGCGACAGCTGATATTCAAAGGCCAGGTTCGGGATGAGGCCATGGCATACGGCGTGGCCGGGACCCTGTTCCTGAGTGCCACAGGATGGTTCCTGCCCCAAGCTTTCTTCCGGCCCCTGCCTCCGCCTCCCTGTGTGCCAGTCATGGTGGAAGGGGTGCTCTGCATTTATTTCCGTCCCCGCAGTGAACTCTGCCGCCCACTTTGAGCCCAGGCTGTGAGATGCGTCCTTGTGCAGGGGTGAGGGCTTGCAGGGCTGAACACACCACCGGTCTGGGCCTGGGATGACTTCCTGCCCCTCCGCCCCAGGTGCGAGCCAGCGGCCTGTGGGAACGGGGTGGTTGGATTGGCTCAGGTGCTGATTCAATGAGAGACTTGCCGAGCCCTGGCAGGTCAAGGTGTGGAGCTTCAGGAGAGCTGAGGAAGCCCAGTGTGGGAGTGGGCCAGGCTCATCTGCTGCCACTCACAGAGTCACTGGAAATGTAGCCAAGGAGCTGCATCTAGGACACGGGCGCCTGCGAGTCCAGATCACAGGCCAAGTGGCGATCCTGGTGGGTGTCTTGGAGGAGGCAGCCTAATCCGAGTCCTGCAAGCGGACGGGTGGCTTGTTGGAGTAGGACCGTGAGCTAAAACAAAGCTTTATCGTATTAGACTTTGGTGGGAGTTTTGGCTCTCTGGTTTCAGAAGGCAAATGACAAACGCCGGGTCACCCTCCAAGTACCTGGAACATTTGCACCTTTGCCTAAGGACTGGAAGAGCTAGGCTGAGCTGGAAGCACTCCGGGCTCCAGGTCACAGCCTTGGGCTGGGGGAGAGAGGCTTCTGGTCTGGAGGCAGGAGCTGGGTGCTCCTGTCAGGTAGGGTTGGGAAGATTCTGGTGAGGGCAGGGGTCCTGCCCCTGGACCTCTGGCCTGTGTCCCCAGCATTTACCAAAGGGCTGGAGAAGGGGGGGGCTTTGTCCTGGCAGATCCCTCTGAAATGCACATTGTGGAGGCAGCAGGCAGAGCCCTGGGGATGCTCCTGCGCTGCCCGGCTCACACCCACAGAAGTTCTGCTGGTGGGGCCCACCCCACTTGTGTGACTGAGGCCCTGGGCAGGTGACCTCACTGTGGCCCCAGCTGCTCACAAGGCCCCTCATGGACCCTCGTGCTCTGCGGCTCCTCGGTCAGGGTGGTGGGAGCCCCTCCCCTCTAACCTGCCTCCTATACAGCTGCAGCATGACCTGGGAGGACATCTACGACTGCGTCCCGTGGTGAGGGGATGGAGGGGATGACATCTACGAGACATCATCAAGGTGGGAGTGTGCAGCAGCCCATGCAGAGCCCTGCCCCACTCCTCCCCTCCCTTTCCCTCCCCTCCTTTCCTCCTCCTCCCTCCTCCCTCCTCTCCCTCCCTTCCCTTCTTCTCCCTCCTCCCCGCCTCCTGTCCTCCTCCCTCCTCTCACCTCCCCTTCCACTCCTCCTCCTGTCCCTCCTCTCCCCTTCTCACCCCTTCCCTCCTCTCTCCTCCCCCTCCTCTTCCCTCCCTTCCCCTCTCCCTCTTCTCCTCCCCCTCCCTCCCTCTCCTCTTCCCTTCCTCTCTTCTCTCTCCCTCTTCTCTCTCTCCCTCCTCCCCCTCCTCTCCTCTTCCCTTCCTTTCCTTCCTTTTCCCTCTTTCTCCCCTCCCCTCCTCTTTCCTCCTCTCCCTCCCTTTCCTCCTCCTTCTCCTCCTCTTCCTCCTCTCCCCTCCCTCCTCTCCTCTCTCCCTCTCCCCTTCCTTTCCTCCCCTCCTCTCCTCTTTCCCCTCCCATCCCCTCCACCCTCCCTCCCCTCCCTCCTCTCTTTCTCTCCCCTTCCTTCCCCTTCGGTCCTCTCTCTCCCCTCTCCTGCTCTCCCCTCCTCCCTCTCTCCTCTCCTCTCCCTCCCTCCTCTCCCTTCCCCTCCCTCCCTCCTCTCCCCCTCCCTCCTCTCTCCCCCTCCTCCCCTCCTCTCCTCTCCGCTCCCTTCCCTTGCAGAGCAGCCTGGCCCTTGCTTAACACAATACTGAGCTGTCCCCATGTCTGAGCCACCGAGGGGGCTCCTCTGGTTGCCGGGACGCCCAGAGTGCACTCCCTGGTCCTTCCCAGTCCCTGGGTTTCCCACCAAGGAGCAACCTTGGAAACCCTCACTGACTCCTGGTCCGCTCTGTGCCCTTCCTCTCTATGGAGATGTTCTCAGGTGCTCCCAGAGGTGACACCACCACTGTCGTGGACTTCGCCCGTGTTGGCATGGGATTCTTCTTCCAAGGGTTTGCAGGACCCTCAGTCCTTCCTGCCCAGGGAGCCTTAAGATAGTAACTTGGCTCGCGGCCCAAAGCACGCATCATTTTCCCTTGTGTGTGGAGAGGATGAGACCAATATTGGCCCAATTAGCCAGCTGTGCGTCTTTTTTATGTGGAGGATGTTTATTTCCTGCAGGCAGTGGCGACACCCTCGGATGCCAGTTTCTCCGCGTGCTTACGTCAGCAGCTGCTGTGTGGAAGGTGGGGATCCAGCAGAGCTGGAATGGGGAGACAGGGACCTGGTGGGGCAGGTCACAGGCCCTCGGACCCGCAGGCTCCCGAGAGTGGGCAGGATGCCACTTGGCCAACCGTGCAGGCTTTTTGATGCCACTGGCTTTCCCGAAGAAATGGGAAGTTTCTCAAAAGCTGATCTCGTTTTCTTTTTAGTGTAGGAGGAGCCAAAGGTGGTGGAGAGGCAGAAAGCCGGGAAACAGATCTCCCTAAAGAGGCCTTGCCCGGAGGCCTTGCCCGCTCTGC